TGGGTTAAAGCCTCTGCCTTCGGCTCGGGTCATGGTCCCAGGGTCCTGGGATCAAGGCCCGCATCGGGCTCTCTGCTCGGCAGGGAGCCTGCTTCCCTTCCTCTCTCTCTCTGCCTGCCTTTCTGCCTACTTGTGATCTCTGTCTGTCAAATAAATAAATAAAATCTAAAAATAAAATAAAATAAAATACATGTAATCTTGTCAGAAATTTTACCTTTAAGAATTTAGTTTTTTAAATTAAAACATTTTTAAAATTTTAATTCCAGTATAGTTAACATGCAGCGTTGTATTAGTTTGGGGCTTACAGTATAGTGATCCAGCAATTCTATACATTACTCCATGACTCTTAATCCCTTTCCTGTATTCCCCCCAACGCCACCCCTCCCAACCATCTGTTTGTTTTCTTTAGTTAAGGGTCTGTTTCTTGGTTTGTCTTTTTCTTTTTCTTGTTTGTTTGTTTTGTTTCTTAGATTCCACATATGAGTAAAATCATATGATGTGTGTCTTTCTCTGACTGACTTATTTCAGAGTATTATACTCTATTTTTTTAAAATAAAATAATATGCAAAGGATTTTTAAAAGATAATAAGGGCTAGTTTTATGATTCTGCTCTATGATAGTTATGTATTCTTTGTAAAATAGTTACCACTGGTGTCAAGGATGATTTTTTTTTAATTGTGGGAAAATATATATAACATAAAATTTACCATTTTAGCCATTTTGTAAAAAAATATTTATTTATTTATTTATTTATTTGAGTGAGAGCCCATGTATGTGTGAGTAGGTGGAGGGGCAGGGAGAGGGAGAGAAGCAGACTCCCTACTGAATGTGGAGCCTGACATGGGGTTTGATCCCATGGCCCTGATCATGGCATGAGCCAAAATCAAAAGTTAGACGCCTGGGGCACCTGGGTGGCTCGGTCAGTTAAGTTTTTGTCTTTGGCTCAGGTCATGATCTCAGGATCCTGAGATTGAGCCTGGAGTGGGGCTTCATGCTTAGCAGGGAGTCAGCTTGTCTTTCTTTACCTCTGCTCCTCACCCAACTCGTGCCCTCTCTCTCTCAAATAAGTAAAATCTTTGGGGAAAAAAAATTTCCTCTTTAAAAAAAAAAAAAAAGATTCTCTTTCTCTCTCTCTCTCTCTATGAAGATAATGAGAAGACAGGCCAAACTGGGAGAAAATAGTTGTAAAAGTCAGAGACACAAAGAACTCTTAACACTAAACAATAAGAAAATGAACAGCCTGATTAAAAAATGGCAAAAGACCTGAACAGACACCTTACCAAAAAGTTAAATAGGTTACATATAAGCATGTGAAAAGATGTTCAATCATATCATTAAGGAATTGCAAACTAAAACAATGAGATAATACTACACATCTGTTAGAATGGATACAATTCAAAACACCAACACCACCAAATGCTGATAAGGGTATGGAGCAACAGGAATCTTCATTTATTAATGGTGGGAATGCAAAATAGTATCACCACTTTGGAAGACAGTTTGGAAATTTATTACAAAACTAAATATATTCTTACTACACAATCCAGCCATTGTGCTCCTCGGCATTTATCAAAGAAGTTAAAAACTTCTGTCTGCCAAAAAACTTGCACAGATGTTCATGGCATATTCATAATTGCTAAAACTTATAAGTAACCAAAATATCCTTCAGTAGGTGAATGGATAAATAAACTATGGAACATCAGATCATAGAGTATTATTCAGCACTACAAAGAAATGAGCTATGAGGCTATGAAAAGACATGGACAAACCTCAATTGCCTAGCTAAGTGAAAGAAGTCAACCTGAAAATGCTATATAGTGTGTGATGGCAGCAATATGAAGTTCTAGAAAAGACAGAACTATGGAGATGGTAAAAGAATCAGTGGTTGCCAGGGATCAGGGGGAGGAAGAATTGATAAGTGGAGCACAAATTTTGTAGGGCAGTGAGACTACTGTGTGTGATACCATAACGGTGGAAAATGTCATTATACGTTTGTCTAAACCCACAGAATGTAAAACACAAAGAGTGAACTATAATGTGAATTATGGGATGATAATGATATGGCAGTGTAAGCTCACCCATTAGAAAAAATGCATGACTCTGATATGGGGGTTATTGATACTGGGGGAGGCCATGTCAGTGTGGGGGTGGGAGAGGTACATGGGAAAATTATACCTTCTCCTCAATTTGTCAATTATACCTCAGTAAAGGCTTAAAAAAAAAATTCTGACACATGGTACAACATGGATGAACATCAAGGATACTCTGCTAAGGGAAATAAATCAGGACAAATACACTTATATGAGGTCTCTATGCTAGTCAGATTCATAGACACAGACAGTAGACGGATGATTGCAGGGGGCTGGGAAAGGAAGGGAAACTGAGGGATTGCCTCACAGGTACAGAGCTTCAGTTTTGCAAGATGAAAAGAGTTCTGGAGATTATACAACAATATGAATGTATTTAACACTACAGAACTATACACTTAGAAATGATTAAGGGGCGCCTGGATGGCTCAGTCAGTTGGGTGTCCAACATTTTTTTTTTAAGATTTTATTTATTTGAGAGAGCGCAAGAGCATGAGTGGGGGGAGGGGCAGAGAGAGAGAGGGAGTGTGTATACTACTGTGTTTACTACTCTGGGTCTTTTGCCCCTCCATATAAGCTTTATTTTTTTTTTTTTAATTTTTTTTTTTAACTTGTTTGACAGAGAGAGAGAGAGAGAGAGAGAGAGAACATAAGCAGGGGGAGTGGGAGAGGGAGAGGGAGAAGCAGGTTCCCCGCTGAGCACAGAACCCAATGTGGGACTGCTTCCCAGGACCCTGGGATCATGACCTGAGCCGAAGGCAGACGCCTAACGGACTGAGCCACCCAGGTGCCCCACCATATAAACTGTAAAATCAGTTTGTTGTTGTCTATAAAATAACTTGCTGGTATTTCATTTGGGATTACATTGAATCTATGGATCAAATTAAGAATCTTGACAATATTGAGTCTTCCTATCCATGAACATGGAATCTCTTTCTATTATTTAGGTCTTCTTTGATTTCCTTCATTAGAGTTTTGTAGTTTTCTTTATATAAGTCTTGTCCATATTTTGTTAGATTTATACCTAAGTATTCTGTTTTTTTGCTTGCTAATGGAAATGGCATTGTGTTTTAAATTCAAATTCTATTTTCTGGTCTAAAGCAATTGACTTTTGTGTATGAACTTTGTATCCTGCAACATTGCTCTAACTCACTTACTAGTTTCAGGAGGTTTTTTGGTTCTTTTGGATTTCCTATATATATATAATCATGTCATCTTGAACAAACACAGGGTTTTTTTTTTCTTCCCAATCAGTGTACCTTTTTATTTCCTTTTCTTATCTTCCTGGACTAGCTAGGACTTCCAGTACAGTGTGGAAAGGAGTGGTGAGAGGGACCATCCTTGCCTTATTCCTGACTTAGCAGGAAAGCTTCTAGTTTATTGACATTAAATATGATGCTAGATGTAGATTTCTTGTAGTTTTTTTTTGTTTTTAGAGAGAAAGAGAGATGGAACATGAACAGGGGAGGGGCAGAGGGAGAGAGTCTCAAGCAGACTCCCCGCTGAGCGTGGAGCCTGCCACAGGGCTTGATCTCATGATCCTGAGATCATGCCTGAGCCAAAATGAAGAGTCAGATGCTTAACTGACTGAACCACCCAGGTGCTCCAATTTTTTATAGATATTTAAAAATTGAGGCAAGTAAATTATTCTCTTCTAAGTTTGTATTCCTTTTTCTTTCTTTCTTTCTTTTTTTTTTAAGATTTTATTCATTTATTAGAGAGGGAGAGAGCACAAGCCAAGGCAGAGGGAGAAGCAGGCTCCCTGCTAAATGTGGTGCTTGATCCCAGGACCCTGGGATCATGACCTGGGGTGGATGCTTAACTAACTGAGCCATGTAGGTACCCCTGTATTCCTTCTTTTTAAAGGCTGAATACTATTTTATTATATATATATCCACATTTTGTTTACCCATCAATCCATTAGTGGATAGTTGGGTTGCTCCCACCTTCTTGGCAATTGTGAATAATTCTGCTATGAACATGGGCGTACAAGTAGCCCTTTGAGACCTTTCTTACAGTTTTTCTAGGTATAATTGCTGGATCATATGGTAATATTTGCATTTCATTGAGTTTATTGAATATTATATGCAAAATTTTATATACAAGAATATTCATTGCACTGATGTTTATAATAGTGAAAATTTGGAAGCAGCCTTGCTACTTACCAGTACGTGATTGGTTAGATAATCACAGTACATCCATACAATGAGGTATACTGCAGCTGTTTAGAAAGGTCTGTGTGTTTTGACAGGTCAGAATATCTAGATAGATTAAAATATGAAAAAAAGAAAATTGTAAAATGATATGTGTAATATGAACCTTTAAAAAAAAAAGATGTATTTATTTATGAGAGAGAGAATGGGAAGGGTGAGGGGCAGAAGGAAAGGGAGTAGTAGATTCCCCACTGAGCTGGGAGCCTGATGTGGGGCTCAATCCCAGGACCCTGAGATCGTGACCCAAGCCAAAGGCAGTTGCTTAACCGAATGGGCCAGCCACCCAGGCACCCTGTAAATGAGCCTGTTTTTATTTAAAATCACATGTATTATATGTATGTATATATGTATTATGTATGTATGCTTCAAAAAATTTTTAAAGGATAACAATTCTATAGGCTGAGGGGGATGAGGGGATAGGTTATATGTGCAGTAGAAGAGCAGACCTTTATCTTACTGCATTACAAGTTACTGCATCATAGCAGGGTTTATAAGAGGCACAGTTTTTTATAAGCAGAAAAACCAATTTAAGTAATTGTATTTTTGGAAAAAATAGAGCTTGACTTCTGTTTATCTATGACTACAAAGAAAATGTTTTGTGTTTCATTTACTTACCATGTGTTTTTATGTCTACAACACACATCACTGGGATCTTTTAAAGTATCTTTTTATTGTTATACATGGTATGAAGGATATATGTACGGTCTTGTGGCCTGACATATAAAATTAGCACAGTGACTTTCTATCAGAATGGTTTTACATAAGGAAAATGTTCTACCATTTTTGGATCATACTTGAATGGTGCTTTCCATTTCCTGTGACTTGGTGTGGTGTGGTATGTGGTGAAATTGTAGGCTTCCTCTGCTCTTGAGGAAAATATTGCTTAGTTTAAGCACTGTGTTACACTGCACACTGAATTCTGTTCTTTGCCTTTTCTTCTGACAGTAGATCTTCATGGAGGAGCACGGAGTGACCCAAACCGAACACATGGCTACCATAGAAGCCCATGCAGTCGCCCAGCAGGTACAGCAGGTCCATGTGGCCACCTACACTGAGCACAGTATGCTGAGTGCTGATGAAGACTCACCTTCTTCTCCTGAGGACACCTCTTACGATGATTCAGACATACTCAACTCCACAGCGGCTGATGAGGTAACAGCCCATCTAGCTGCTGCAGGTAATGCTGTTTGGATCGGAAGCTCTTCATTTTTTTGCTTAACCTCTGGTTTTGTGCATATCTGCAAGGACCTCGGATGCAGACATTCTCATATATATCTTCAAATCACATTTTCAGATTTTTTAAGCCTTGCATTTATAGCTTATGCCTATATTCTACTGAGACTTAAGATCTAGAGTGACATACTATTAATGATATGACTTTGGTTTTGTTTTTTCATTCATTCCAACAGTCTTTTGACTTCTTACTAAAACATTTAATCCATTTACATTAAATGTAACCACTGATATATTTAGGTTTTAATTTATCATGTTTACTGTATGTTTTCTCATGTTTACTGTATGCTTTCTCTTCATCCCACTTACTCTGTGATTACTTTTCCTTTGTGTTTTGGAGGGACTGAAAAGTTTACATTTTTTTTTCTTGTTAGTTTGAAAGATATACACACTTTTCCTATTAGTTATACCCCTAGAAACTATAATACATCCTTAACTTATTTCAAAGTCTTCTGGAATTGGTACTTTTGTCCTTTTATGGGATAATGCAAGTTTCTTAGAACACTTGAATTTTATTCTCCTCCTTCTGACCTATATGCTATTGTTATTCTGTGTATTATTTCTTCATATATTCCAAGCCATACAAGACATTATTTTTGTTTTATACTTACTTAGTGTTCATTTTTTCCTTCATATCCAACTTGCCTTCTGAGAATTTTTCTTCTGTCTAAAGATAACATTTAGTATTTCCTTGAGCATGGATGTCTCTCAGTTTTTTTTGTCGGAGGATGTTTTATTTAACCTTTAGTCTCAAAAGGTGTTCTCACTGGGTATAGAATTTTAGGTTGGCACTTATTTTTTCTCCCTCACATTGAAGATTCTGTTCCCACTGTCCTCTGGTTTCCTTCCTTGCTTTTCAGAATTCAGCTGTTTCATTCTAATAGCTGCTCCTTTGAAGGTTATCTCCCACATAGGTCCCTCCTCCAACTGTTCTTAAGATTTTCTCTGTCTTCAGCTTTTTGGTTTTTGTGTGTGTGTGTTCTGGTTTTGTGATATAGCTGGTTTTGGGCTTCTCATTTATTCTGTTTAGGATTCTTTAAACATCTTGAATCTGTGGATTGATGTCTTTCATCAATTCTGGAACATCTTAGTCACTAGATTTTTTTTTTTTTAAGGTTTTATTTATTTATTTGAGAGAGAGAGTGAACACAAGCAGGGGTGGGAAGGGTAGGAAGGGCAGAGGGAGAAGGAGAAGCAGGCTTCCCACTGGAGGGAGTCCAGTACAGGGCTTGATCCCAGGACCCTGGCATCATGACCTGAGCTGAAGGTAGACCCTTAACCCATGAGCCACGCAGGTTCCCCTTAGTTATTAGATTTTGCTTCTGCTCCATTCCATCTTTTCCTTCTGTGACTCCAATTAAATATGTTAGTTTTCTTCATTGAATCTTTTATGTCTCTTATCCTCTATTCTGTATTACCATCAGTTTGTCTCTTTATGCTTCACTGTATGTCATTTCTTCAAACTGTCTTCTAGTTTACAGCTGTGTCTGAGGTGATCTAAATCTGCCTACTGAGGTACTAATTTTAGTAATAGTTAATAGTTTCATTTTTTAAAAAAGATTTTTATTTATTTATTTGACAGAGAGAGAGAGATCACAAGTAGGCAGAGAGGCAGGCAGAGAGAGAGGGGGAAGCAGGCTCCCTGCTGAGCAGAGAGCCTGATGTGGGACTCGATCCCAGGACCCTGAGATCATGACCTGAGCTGAAGGGAGAGGCGTAACCCACTGAGCCACCCAGGTGCCCCAATAGTTTTCTTTCTTTCTTTTTTTTTTTTTTTTTAAGAATTTCTGGTATTTTTTTTCCCTCCTAAATCTGTACTATTATCATTTCCAATTGTAGTAGAAAAAAGAAGTTTTTTTAAATCTCTGTGAGTGAAGTAAGCATCATGATTTTACAATAAATTTGGTAATTCTATCCTCTGAAGTGCCATTGGGTCTTTTTCTGTTATATGTTGATAGTGCTGTTTCTTGTTTATGTTTGTTTTTCTTTTCGTATATTGGTTATATTTAAATGAGTGCTGGATGGTGTGTTTGGAAATTTATTTTTAGAAATAATTTGGGGTCTAGAATAATATTATTGCCCTCTAGAGAGGATTTTTGTTTCCTTCTGCCAGCTGCCTAAGGACACTAGCAATCCTGCATTATCTTAATCCAATTTAAGGTTTGAGATTTTCTGGGCCACTAAATGACTTAAAGCTGGGCTATATTTTGTACCATTCTCTTTACTATTTACATTGTGTACTTAGCACTATGTGGAAGACTACATATAAATCATTCCTGGATGGGGTTAGTATTGTATAAGGAACATTGATCTCAAAGATATTTAGGGAGAGTTGGGCAGTAAATAAATTATCAGGAATGGCCAAAATACGTTTTTTTTTTTTTAGCATGTACTGTATTTAAGGAGAAGACAAATGTGATGACAAACCACCTTATGACTCTCAGTTATTATCCACTGTGTCTTTCTGGAATTGTAAATTTAAAATAAGACTTAGTAGTAGAACACATATGAGATGTTTGTAAAATATATTTTTGAAACATGTATACTTCCCAGAAGAGGGCATCCTAACATAATGAATGCAGATCAACCTCTTTCCTGGGAAGGGAGATGCTTTTGAGACACAGTTTTGCTATATTACCGTACTGCATTGTCATAGTGTTAAAATTAGGAAAAGACTTCAATCTAACATTCTCGGTGGCAGATGTGGAAACTGAGGCCCAGCTGGTAGAAATGATTTACCCTTTAATCATTCAACAATTATTGAAGAATTACTGTATGCTCTGTATCACTGTAAATAGATACTATGAACAGGACAGGCAAGAGCTTGCTCCTGATGTAGCTCACAGACCAATGGTGGGAGAAGGGTACAAATAATAAAGTAAAATAATTTCAAAAAGCACTGAATACTCTGGAGGAAATAAGGTGAATGAAGAGGGAAGGGAAGGATATTCCTGCTTTTTCTAACCCTATTCTCTTCTCTCCTTCCACTGAGGTAACCACTATTCTAAATTTGATCTTTATCATTTTCATGCACTTCTTTTATTTCTGCTGTATACTTATGTATCAATAAGCAATACTTAGCATTGTTTGGCATGTTTTAAATTTTATTAAAAAATGTCTCTCTATAGCATTGTTTATCCCATTCGGTATTATTTTTTTGAGATTCATTCATGTTGATAATGTGGCAGTATGTTTTTATTTTAAGTGTTATTTGGAATTCCATTCATTATCTGAACATGACAGATATTGGTATAGCACTTAGGCTGTTTATAAGTTTTTGCTATTACAGTAACTGCAAATGAAAATTATTCTATCTTTTCTTGTGCAAATTGTGGGAGTTTCTTTTAGTTTTCAAGCTCTTGACAGTTCCCATAGTGATACATTTTACATTGTGATCTGGGATAAATGAATGTACATATACTTGGAATAACAGTTTCTTTTTTTCTTTTTTTTTTTTTTTTGGAATAACAGTTTCTCATGGAGTAATACTTACCCTCTGCCATGACACACCCACTGATATGTCCTAGTATCTTTCACTTTATTCCATTTTATTAAAACAAACAAACAAACAAACTACTCATGAACCACCAAAGAACAGAAACCTGCACTTTGAAAATACTGCTGAAGGTTATAACCAGGAGGAGAATGAGAGGGCAAAGATGGGTACATTTTCAACTTTACTAAATATTCCAAATGTCTTTCTAAGTCACTTTATTAATTTACATCCCCACAAACAGCATGTTAGAGGGCCTGTTGCTTCCAGTCCTCACCATATTTGGAACTGTCAATTGTTTTTTGTTTTTGCTAGTCTGATGAAATAGAATCTCATTATCCGTTTAATTTGCTCATCTCTGAGCTAGAAGTTCCAGCCAGTGCAGGAAGACAAGATAGAGTGTCGTTTCAGACTATTGAAATGACTTTTTATTAACTATTGCTTTTCTTCTTCTGCGTATTTCCTCTTTATGCCTTTGTCTAATCAGGTTGGTTATTTTTTCTTGTTGTATGAGTTAATTATATTTTTTTTTAATTTTATTTAAAGATTTTTATTTATTTATTTTGAGAGAGAGAGAGAAACAGAGTGAGAGAGAGCATGAGAGGGGAGGTCAGAGGGAGAAGCAGACTCCCCATGGAGCGGGGAGCCTGATGTGGGACTCGATTCCAGGACTCTGGGACCATGACCTGAGCCAAAGGCAGTTGCTTAACCAACTGAGCCACCCAGGCATCCAATGATATATTTTTTGATACTGTTCTTTTCTGGATAATATGCATTTCATTTATTAGTATCTTCATCCAATTTGTTGACTACTCCTTCCCTCAATTTTTTATTATTTATTTTTGTCCATAAAGGTTTAAATTTAATTGTGATATTTATCAGTCTTTTTCCTTACTGTTTATCCTTTTGGAGTCCTTTTTTTTTTTTTTTTTAAGATTTTATTTATTTGGGGGCACCTGGGTGGCTCAGTGGGTTAAGCTGCTGCCTTCGGCTCAGGTCATGATCTCAGGGTCCTGGGATCGAGCCCCGCATCGGGCTCTCTGCTCAGCAAGGAGCCTGCTTCCTCCTCTTTCTCTGCCTGCCTCTCTGCCTGCTTGTGATCTCTGTCTGTCAAATAAATAAATAAAATCTTTAAAAAAAAAAAAAGATTTTATTTATTTGACAGAGAGAGAGAGAGGTCACAAGTAGGCAGAGAGGCAGGCATAGAGAGGGGGAAGCAGACTCCCTGCTGAGCAGAAAGCCTGATGCAGGGCTTGATCCTAGGACCCTGAGATCATGACCTGAGCCAAAGGCAGAGGCTTAACCTACTGAACCACCCAGGCCCCCTATCCTTTTGGAGTCTTATTTAAGGAATTCTTACTCCTGAGTTCATAAATACTCTACAACAGTTTATTGTAGAAGTTACAAAGTTCTTTGTTGTTTTAATTTAGCTGTTTAATTCACCTGGAATAATATTTTTGTGTATATGATATAGGGATCTAGCTTCATTATTTTTCCATACAATCGTTTGTTCCAGTACCATATTTTTTTTTTTCAGTACCATATTTTTAATAGTTCATCCTTTTCCTACCTCTGTCTTTGACACAGGAAGGCATTTGTGAACTCTTAATTCAGTTGCATTGGTTGGTTTGTCTATCCTTCAGCCGGTTCCATACTGTCTTAATGACTGTAGCTTTATAGTAACCACTGATATTTGATAGGATGAGCACACCTTTTAAAATTCTTGAAATTCTTCACAATTGTTCTAGTGATTCTTGACCTTTTGCACATCCATTTAAGTTTTAGGATCAGCTTATCAATTTCCAGAAAAACCCATCCTGGGACTTTTATTTGAATTGTATTGAGTTTATAAATTAATTAAGCACCTCTATTCATAATAGCCTAAAACTGGAAATTACCCGAACATCTATCAGTAGGATAATGGATAAACTGTGATTTATTTATACTCTGGAATATTACTCACCAATAAAAAGGAAGAAACTACTAACACATACAGCAGTGTGGATGACTCTCAAGAACATTATTCTAAGCGAAAGAAACCTCACAAAAAAGAATATATATATGGTATGATTCCATTTATTTGAAGTTCTAGAATAGACAATGCTAAAATAGGGTGAAAAAACCAGTATTGTAGGTCCTTTGAGAGATTGGGCAAGAACTGACTGGGAGGAGACATGAGAGAACTTTCTGTAGTGGTGGTATTGTTATATGTCTTGATAGAGATTGGTTATCATTAGTGTCTACATTTCAAAATGTATGGTATGCTTACACAAAATTGAATGTACACTTAAGACTTGTACATTGCATTATATCTAAATTTTACCTCAAAAGAAAAAATTGTAAAGAAATACTGAACTCTAGCTAATGATATTCCTACCAAATATTTAGGTGAATCGTACTGCAGTTTACATGCATCAGAATAAGAAATGATATGGACTAGTGAGTGGGTAGAAAGATGAATGGGGTGCATGGCTGGCTCACTAGAGCATGCGACTCTTGATCTCAGGGTGGTGAGTTCAAGCCCTATGTTAGGTGTAGAGATTATTTAAAAATTTTTTTAAAAGTCTTAAATTAAAAAAAAAGATGGATAGATGCATGTGTTAAAATGTTATGGTAGAGTGGTAGATACATAAATGTTCACTAAAAAATTCTTTCAACTTTGTTCTATATTTGAAAGTTTTAGTTATAAGATGTTGGACTCCTACAAATCAATAGCTAAAAAACAAATAAGCTAATTAAAAAAATGGACAGAGGACTTGAGTAGACATCACCCTAAAGAAGATGTACATATGGCCAAGAACCCTATGAAAAAGATGTTCAGGGGCACCTGGGTGGCTCAGTGGGTTAAAGCCTCTGCCTTCGGCTCAGGTCATGATCCCAGAGTCCCGGGATCGAGTCCCACATCGGGTTCTCTGCTCAGCAGGGAGCCTGCTTCCTCCTCTCTCTCTCACTCTCTCTGCCTGCCTCGCTGCCTACTTGTGATCTCTGTCTATCGAATAAATAAATAAAATAGTTAAAAAAAAAAAAAAAGAAAAAGATGTTCACATTACTAATCGTCAGGGAGATACAAATCAAAACCACAGTGAGATGCTACCTGACACTTGTTAGGATGGCTCTTACCAAATAACAACAAAGGATAAATATTAGCAAGGATGTGGAGAAATTGGAATCCTTATATGCTGTTGGTGGAAATATAAAATGGTGCAGCCTCTATGGAAAACAGTGTAAAGGTTCCTTAAAAAATAAAAAATAGAAGTGCCCTATGCAATTCCATCTCTGGATACTTATTGAAAAGAACTGAAATCAGGATCTCATAGAGTATTCACATTCCCATGTTCATTATTCACAATAGCCAAGATGTGGAGCAACTCAAGTGTCCATTGACAGATGAGCGAATAAAGAAAATGTGGTGTATATAAAGAATGGAATATTATCCAGCCTTTAAAAAGAAGGAAATCCTGCCATATGCAACAACATGGATGAACGCAGGGTATTATGCTAAGTAAAATAAGCCAGTTACAGAGGACAGATATTGCATGATTCTACTTATATGCGGTATCTAGTCAAACTCCTAGAAACAGAGGTAGAAGGGTAGTTGAGCTGGCGACTGGGGTGTGGAAATGAGAGTTGCTCTTTAACAGGTATAAAGTTTCAATTATGCAAGATGAATAAGTTCTAGAGATCTTGCGTACAACATTGTGCCTATCTTTAGCTGTTTGTACACTTAAAAAATTAATACGGTAGATCTCATATTAAGTGTTCTTATCATAGTTAAAAAATTAAATACTGGAAAAAATCTTTCAATGGGATTTTTTTTTCATCTACCAGCTGTTTATGATGGAAAGGTTAAAATCATTCATTTAGGGGGCCTGAGTGGCTCAGTGGGTTAAGCCTCTGCTTTCGGCTCAGGTCATGATTTCAGGGTCCTGAGATCGAGCCCGGCATTGGACTCTCTGCTCCGTGGGGAGCCTGCTTCCTCCTCTCTCTCTGCCTACTTGTGATCTCTGTCAAATAAATAAATAAAATCTTTAAAAAAAAAAAATATAAATGAGTGCTTTTTTTTTTTTTTTAAAAGATTTTATTTATTTGACAGAGATCACAAGTAGGCAGAGAGGCAAGCAGAGAGAGAGGAGGAAGCAGGCTCCCTGCGGAGCAGAGAGCCCGATGCGGGGCTCAATCCCAGGACCCTGGGACCATGACCTGAGCCGAAGGCAGAGGCCCCAACCCAGTAAGCCACCCAGGCACCCCTCATTTATTCTTTTACTTGCTCTGGGGCTCTTTAGAGGAGTTTATTTAAGTCAGACTAAATAACATGTAGAGAGATTTGTCTAGATTTTCAGGGAGACTTATTTTAATTGAGCCCCTTAGACCATATATAACATATATGCCAGAGCAAGTGTAAGTAGTTAAACTTAATTTTCATGTAAGCCTTTCATAGGGTTTACAAATAAGGTTAAAAGTGGGTCATCTGCTTAAAAAGGGAAAGAAAAAAAAAAAAAAGGAATGTCCTTGATATGTTGAGATTCCATGAATCAGAGACTCCAATAATTCCTTAGGGTCTACCCTTTATTTTATTTTATTTTATTTTATTTTATTTTTTTAAAGATTTTTTTTTATTTATTTATTTGTCAGAGAGAGAGAGAGAGAGAGAGCACGAGAGTGAGCACAAGCAGATAGAGTGGCAGGCAGAGGCAGAGGGAGAAGCAGGCTCCCTGCTGAGCAAGGAGCCCGATGTGGGACTCGATCCCAGGACGCTGGGATCATGACCTGAGCCGAAGGCAGCGGCCCAACCCACTGAGCCACCCAGGCGTCCCTACCCTTTATTTTAATAATTAGTTTCAGGGCAAGCCAGACTGACTTTTATTAACATTTTTTCTTTAGAGTGGGATAGTTTTCATCTCTTTCCTGCCAGCATGCTTTCATCAGTTTAACATTGTGGTCAACAACTCCATTTTAGGCACAATTCTCAGATATATAAGAAAAAAAAAATTTCCAATTAAGATAATACTCCTCCACCTCTTCCTCTTTTGGGTACGTTGTTGTTACTATTTGAGTTTCAAGCATGAGTGATTATCTCTGACTTCCTTAACTTGACAGTGTTTTGGGGTAATGGAAAGAGGGCACAAGGATGGAAATGAAATTTGAAATCTGTGATTATTTTCTTTTGGCAAGCTCTTCCTCTCAGTGTTGCAATTTCATCTAGCACCTGTGAGAATATCGGCTTTGCAGTATGGGCCTGCTGGCAAAACAAAACAAAACAAAACACAACATTATATACAATTTAGCTAGTGTATGGTGGTCCAACACCATACACCATAGTGTATGGTGGTGTATGTAAGTCAATCACTTTTTCAGATTCATTGCAAGTTTTGTTGGTAAATGAAAATATGATTTGTTTTGAACAATAGCAAAGTATGTTGATAATATCAGGAACATTCTATATTTACTGAGAATGTATTAGGAAATAAAGACTACCTTTTTTGTACCTTTAATTGTTTTCTGTCTCATAGAGCTAACAGGCTTTGCCTGCTCTCAGCACATGCGTTATTATTTCAGGTCCTGTGGGAATGGCTGCTGCCGCTGCTGTGGCAACAGGAAAGAAGCGGAAACGGCCTCATGTGTTTGAGTCTAATCCATCTATCCGGAAGAGACAGCAAACACGCCTGCTTCGGTGAGGGCTCCCTTCTCCATATTGTTGCTGTTTCTCCAATGCTTCATGGTGGGGACGACAGAATTAGAACATACATTACTAGGTACACTGAGGAAACCAAGTTAGGGTCCTTGATGGCAGAATTAGACTTGAAAGTACTCCTATAGAATCAAATAAATGAAACTAGAAATGATGAACAGATGTAGAATATCACATTATTTCATTCTGAGAAAATTTTTATTTTATTTTATAAAAATTTTATTTTCACTGTGCCAGACATTGTTCTAGGCCTTGGGAATACAACTGTGAACAAAACAAATTCCCTTAAGGAGTTTATATTCTAGTAGAGGAAAAAAATAAAATAAACACTCTGTAATATATCAAATGATGATAAGTACTATGGAAAAAAGGAAAATGTAAGTAAGGAAAGGAGTAAGGAAAAAAAAGAAAAGTTTGGAGGGATATAGTAGTTTCTCTTTTTTTGGTAGGGATGATCTGGGAAATCCATTTTGACAGGCAGCCTCTGAACAGGGAATTACTGATGTCTAAAGGAAGATCTTTCCAGGCAGGGAGAAGAACAAGAGGAAAGTTTCTGAAGCGGGATGGAATGTGATGGTCATGTTTGAGGAATAGCTAGGGAAAGAATGACAGGAGATGGAGTCAGAGCAGTAGTAGAGAGCCACATCATGGGGTCGTTGGTCTAGTAGAAGGGCTTTGACTCTTGTTCTGAGTGAGATGGGAAGTCAGTGAAGGCTTTTGACCAAAGCAGTGATATGGTCTGATTTATGTTTTCAGAGAAACCATTAGGCTACTGTGTTGAGAATAGAGTTTGAGTATACCACAATGGAAGAAGGAAGAAAATTAGGTTATTGTAGTAATCCAGGCCAGAAATCATAGGGTCTTAAAACCAATATTGCAGTAACAACGGTAGTAAGAGGCGGTCGTCCTGGGTGTATTTCAAAAGTCAACCCCGCCCCCCCAAAAGTCAACTCCAACATGATGGATTGGCTGTGGGGTGTGAGAGCAAAAACAGGAATGAAGGGGACCTCAAGATTTTTGGTCTGATTATTGGAAGGATTGAGATGACTCTTACTGGAAGAGAGGAGCAGGTATAGGAATGAGTGAGAGTAAGGCAGGTAGGTCTGTGATACCTCTTAACCATTAAGTGGAGAAACAGTAAGCAGTTGATACATGAGTCTGAAATTCAAAGGAGAGATCTTGCTGAAAATATCCAAGTTTTAGATCTTATCCAAGACTCTGAGACTGGAAGGTCTTGGTGGAGGTCTTGACCGGAGGTCACCAAGAGAGTGAATGCAGACTGAGGCCTAAAACACTCTAACTTTTAGAGATTGGAGAGATGAAAGGAATGAGCAGAAGAGTCTAGGAAGCTACCAGTGAATTGGGAGGAAAATCAAGAGTGCAATATACTAGAAACCACGTGCGAAAAGCATGTTAAGAAGGAGGGTGTGTGATCAGCTCTGTTCAGTGCTGCTGGCAGGTTGAATAAGATGCAGATTGACCATTAGATTTAGCAACATGGAGGTCATGATTGAACTTGGCAAGAGCATTTCAAGTGGAGTGGTAAGGCTGAAAGGATTGGGGTATCTTCAAGAGAGAATGGGAAAAGAAGAATTGGAGAGTGTGAATATAGACCATTCCTTCAAGGAATGCTGCCAAATTTCTTATTTAGCATATGGTCCTTTGCTGAAGAGTTTTTTCTGAGGAGTTTGTAGGTTGTACAGAAAGATTATCGTGCAGCGATAGTACACGGGGACTTAATATTTGATGGTTGCACAACGTGCATTCATACGGGATAAGAAATTTTGTCTATAAAATGTTCCAGAAGGTTTTTTTCTTATAGTGTTTTAAATACATCCAAAATTTCTAGGTGTTTATTGGAATATTGAATCCAAATGGAGTGCCAGCCCATGTGAATGATACGTTACAAAAGCTAGAAAATAACAGTTTATACTAAGAACAGAAGAGGAAGATTATAAGAAACTGAAGAAAAAAAACCAAAAAGTACTGATTGGAAGCTTTCAGCAAAGTGTTTATATACCAACAGATAGGCAGTTCTCATTTCCTTTCATGATGGGATAGGCCAGAATAATTAGAACATGTTATATATAGACATGTCTTTGCTATAAGGGGCGTAGGCATGACAGTACATACTTTTGGAGAAAGGTAGAAAACTAGATATGTTCACTTTGTTTCATTTGAATTAATTACTCACCAGTCTCTGGAAAGAGTAGACTATGTTCCCAGAGGATTATGGAATGTAGAACTTTAAAATAATGTCCCATGATTTCAGAGTGAAAAGGAAAAGCCCAGCGTTTCTATTTCACCCAGTGTTGATACACTTTAAAAAGCTCTTTTACTTCTTCCTCATTTGTAAAATATTACAGAACCGAGAATTATTATCTATATGCAATGAAAATCTAGAAATGACAACATTTTTGAAGTCGTATTTCTGGATAAATCTATGTCAGTAAGACATAAACAATGACTACATCAGTCAAAGAAATTAGAAGCAGATCATTTAGGCCCCCTTCATTAAGCATGGAGATAACATGATAATGTCTACAAGAAAATGTCTCAGCAGTAATCTTTTTTGTTATTATAAGTTGCAGTAAGAGAAAACCCCTTTAGCGTTGCTAGGATCAGGAAGAATTATACTCTCCCTGTTCAACATTGTGTCATGGCTGTGTCCTGAAGCAGACTTACAGCTGACCCTTTCATCAGTGAGCTAGTCATTGGTCTTTAGGACAAAGGTATGCACATTTTTCTACTGAACAGGATATTCAAACTCACACTCCCCTTTTCACATTTCGGGTAAAACAACAACAACAACAACGATGCATCTGATCAGAGTAAATTGTCTCAAGTCAAAGTAAATTTTCTGTGTCATTCTAATTTCTCTCTTCCTTAACCATTTTTATTCTCTTTTCATTGTCTAATTCAGGAAACTTCGAGCCACATTAGATGAATATACTACTCGAGTGGGACAGCAAGCTATTGTCCTCTGTATCTCCCCCTCTAAACCCAACCCTGTCTTTAAAGTGTTCGGTGCAGCACCTTTGGAGAATGTGGTAAGAAAACTCAGCTGTGTTCTCAGAGACTCACTCTTGCTTTCTGTGGGTTGTTTGTTCTTTTGATCCTCTGTCTAGTACTATAGCTGTTACTTCTATCCTCCTCTCGTCCAGGGGTGGGAGTGGGACTGGTTTTCAAACCACTGTGTATAGATCAAAATAAAAATGATTATTTCTGTTTGTACTTACTGTAGCAAGATAGTCTACGCTCTCAGATACGCCATCTGAGAGATGCCTTATATCTGTCAGCCCAAGGCGGGGAAAGATGGTGTTATGTTTGTTAAGAAATGAACACCACAGGATTTTTTGGTGTTTTTTGTTTTTCGTTTCTTAATTTAAAGTTCTTTAGTTATTTAGTTATTTATTTAGAGAGACAGAGAGAGAGTGAGAGAGAGAGAACATGAGCAGGGTAAGGGGCAGAGACAGAAGCAGACCCCCTGCTCAGTAGGGAGCCGGATGTGGGGCTTGGTCCCGGGACTCCAGGATCATGACCTGAGCCAACGACAGACTACCCCCACTGAGTCACCCAGGTGCCCCAAGGATTTTATAAGAAAATTACTGATTTATGTCAGAAACAAAATGGGAGATAATTCTAAGATGCAAACTTCATGAGGCAAACCTCAGGAACCATTTTACTGATTTCTGATATTTGAGTTGCATATTTAAAATCTCTTGCATTTCTTTGAAGAATTTATTTGACACTCTGCTTCAATTTTGAAATACAGTTGAATATTTTTTTTTTAAAGATTTTATTTATTTATTTGACAGACAGAGATCACAAGTAGGCAGAGAAGCAGGCGGAGAGAGAGGAGGAAGCAGGCTCCCTGCTGAGCAGAGAGCCCGATGCGGGGCTCGATCCCAGAACCCTGGGATCATGACCTGAGCCAAAGGCAGAGGCTTTAACCCACTGAGCCACCCAGGCGCCCTACAGTTGAATATTTTGATCACCTTACTATCTGTAGCTAAGTTTCTAAAGATAGTATTTTATCTTTGCATACTTACACTAAGTGAACTAGTTTTTCTCTGGCTTTGAATAACTTTGAATCGTTAGTAGTATAATGGTCTGTCCAGATTTAAATTGCATTTTATTTTTATTGGGATAAAGTTTATTAGCTGAAGGGACATTTATTGGATTTCTTCCATATCGAATGTAGACATTTCAGGAGTTTAGAACTGATTAGTAAGCAATTGAAATTTTGTTGGTTTTGCTGGTTTTTTTTTTTTTTTTCCACATGCAAATGTTGTGGTTCTTTTTCAACATTTTTGGATTTCGTTTTGAGTTTTTTTTTTTTTTTAAGATTTTATTTATTTATTTGACAGAGAGAGATCACAAGTAGACGGAGAGGCAGGCAGAGAGAGAGAGAGAGGGAAGCAGGCTCCCCGCTGAGCAGAGAGCCCGATGT